ACTACGAATGTACAATGGAAGTAGAATGCGTGTCGAATCCCAAAAAGGGAGTGATTAACGGCAAATGCTTTGTCCTTATCCTTATTTTATCTGCGAGAACCTTTGCTCGCCTTTCAAAATATTTTGAAAAAAAGGACACAGCACCAGAAAAAAGCAAAATCCATTCGCGTTTGGAAATGCGATATCGGCCAGCTTGGCCTCACTCATCCATTTACTTATGTTGCTCGAAGAACGGTATTTATGCTGGTCTGGTCTTGTGAAAGTGAAACGCATGAATAAGCACAGCTTTTCTATCTCCAAAATTCAAGCAGATGTCAACCAGAGTCCAGGGTTTTGAAAAGTTCCGTTCAAACCCTTCAATCTTTGGTTGACATCTGCTTGAATTTCGGAGATAGCATCTGGGGTCGAAACACACAGATGAAAAAAGACACACCCTGTGTTAGCAGTAAGAAGCGAACATCTGTCCCAGAGACAACTGCAAGGTACAGTAGCAAAAGCCATGCGACTGATATGGGGAGTCATCGGATGAGCACAAGTGATTCCAGTGAGCAGGTCTCTCCCATTTTTTCTGCTCACACATTTCGTTTTTACCGCTATTGATTCAGCAAGACACAGTCAAATCGTAAGACGATAGACCACACTGGAGCTGAACATTGCGGCCAGGTCAGGATGAGCAGCATCAGGATCAGATGTTACCCACGCTTGCTCACCCTTTCCCTTTTTGACTTTGTATTCACAATGCGTGGGGTCGTCATGCGACGAATCCAACAATATCAAGTGACACAAAGTCCAGAAAAGGGCAGTAGACTGCCCTTTTCCTTACGAATATTCGCTGCATCAAGGAGTAGCACTGCAGTATTCTTCAATACCACTAAGATCTACTGAATTGTAGAAAAAAAAGATCCTCAATATGTACCTTTGCTGCAGTTTCATCGTCAGAATCCGAGTCGCTTGATGATGACGTATCTTTCTTTGCGATTTGCTTAGCAACTTTTGTGACTGGTTTCAAAGTAGGCTTCTGGAAATGGATTTTTTGCAGACAAATACGTGAAACCGGCAGTAAGTGGACAAGAAACCTTGGGTTGTTGCCTCACTATCCGAGTCTGAGTCACTTGAGGATTCTGCTGGTTTACTTTTCACTGCAGGTACCACTTTAGGTGCAGGTTTAGCTGGTGACTTCTGAAATAAAACGAGATCATACACAGATACAGTGAAAAGACTAATGCCGAAAGTGGCCAACAGTAAATATCAGATGATGACACAGACAACACTAAAATAATTTTCATACCACTAAAGAGCTTCACATAACTTTCTAATGCGGTTCAACTGCCTTTTGCGATTGCTAAAACTCATACCTTCGGTGAAGCTTCGTCCTCAGAATCACTTGATGAAGATGAAGCCTTCTTCGCAGCTGAGGTTACGGGCTTGGCTTCAGGTTTCGAAACAGTCTTCTATAATAGAGAAGAAAGTAAATTATCCAAGTGACAGGTGAGAAAATTGTAAATAATAACCTTTGCAGGAGTTTCGTCTTCCGAGTCAGAATCACTGGAGGAATCATCGTGTTTTGAAGCCATTGACTTCGTAACAGCTTTCGCAGCCATTACCTCAAAAGCAAAATATTCGGCCTTGACAAAACCAGTAAAAAGCAGTTTTGAGGAATTTAGTGACAGCATCGACACGTGAGCTAAGTAGTAAGTACGGCGTTGCCATTTTTAAGATACCAACGCCCTTCAATCGGACCAAGACGATCCAACCACTTCATTAGGTTGCAGGCGTCACAAATCACAAACATTTTTTATTCATTGTGGCGCCTGTACACGTGCGTTTGGCCTCAAATGAATTGTTTCGAAGTTCGACATGGTATTCAGAGATCAGATTTATCGCTAACTTTCCATGATTTGATCAAGGTGGCAAGGACGAAAAGTTAGCCTAATGAATTGCTTGCACCATAATGGTTGCGTACAAAAGTACTTGAATTAGAGTAGGATACCCCATGCCAAGTCATTGATGGTTGAACGGCAAAGATTGCTAACGAAAGAGATACAGGTTGGAACGCTCATCAGAGCTGCATGGGACTGGCCTTGACTACTATTGAAAGATTTGACAAAACGCTACCAAATCCACTTTTCTTGTGCAAACTTTCCTTAGGCATTACATTCACGGTCTTCATCGTTTCCAACTGGAACGCTTGTCCAGCAATGATACGAAACACTTTCTGTGCTTACAGGAATTTTTCCTTCTAATATCCATATGTCGAACATTTATATGGGCATGTATTAGGCAATATTCATGTATTTTACATATGGACCAGGTTATGTATGTATATATGGATTATACCTTTGCAGGGCACCTTCTTCGTAGCCGGTTTAGCAGCATCGGAATCAGACGACGATGAAGAATCAGAGGACTTGGCCTTACGCTTTAATCCGTTCATTACAGGCATCCCATTAGGAATCTGCAAAATCGACTGATCTCAAATTTAAAACAACCTCAAATATGATCCTAATGAGGCTAGATATTTCCCAAAGTTAGCACTGCACACGTAGACCCTTGCCTAGAACGATAGCGAATTACATATCGAGGATAATTGTCAAAGACGTCACTCTTTTAATGATGAGCATCGAATAGTTTGAGCACTTGACAGCACATATGATACTACAACAATGAACAGAAATAAGCAGCTACCAAAGAAAAAAAGCATAGCGCCAAGATTTTCCAAAGAATTTCAAATTTCACAAATGCTAATTACCAAGAATGTGTTACGGCGTATGAGGAAAAATGTAAATATAGATCCAAAATAAAATGTTGCCCAGGTTTTCGGCATTCAGCGCAAAGCTGAGTCACGGCTTTATCGGAAATCATGAATGTTGTGAACCATGCGCTTTTCTTTTTCCCATAAACGAGAACAGGTCTGTGTTGTGGTTCATCCAGGTATTATGCAAACCAGTAGATAGCTAAAAACACAAACCACGTTCTTCTTGGGGGCCTCATCGTCTGAGGTGTCATCAGAAGAGTCGCTATGGTCAACTGCTCTCTTCTTAGCTGCAGGCGTTGAAGTAAACAATGGAGCTGGTCGTTTCCTTGTGGTCAGGTACGTTTCAGCGCACGTTTTCATGGCAGGTATATCGTCATTGTTTGAAATCTGGAAGAAAGGCATATTGATGGAACCACACTTCGCTACATAAGAAGATTTTATTGGCTGCTAGCAGTATCCTTGGTCAAGGCCTACATAAGAACACGTTATTTGGGTCAACTGGTTTGGAACTTGTTTCTATTATTAAAAAAGTGAAATTACTCTCGAACTGTAACGCACCAAACTCAGTTTCAATAAAATTGGAGCTCATAAGTAAGTGAAGGTATTTTTTAGAAAGAGTTGCAAAATTAGAATGAGGATATGCCGATTTTTGAGTACGGTGGTACGCAAATAGGCACTGACGCCACGAAAAGACACCATGTCAAGAGGAGTGAGACTGGAGGGGGAAGAATTCGGAGAGCGTAGGCAGCTTCCATTTTCGCTTAGGCCCTTCCCCTCCCGTTCATTCCCAGAGGCCGGAAACTAAAGAGATAACTCGAGTTTGTCAAAAATTAAGAGGTCAGCGTCATGTAACACTCACCGAGGCATGCGCACGCCTAACGTATTCAAAAATGGCATACTCTCACTCGTTTTGCATCCAGAGGAATAATGAAAACAGTTTGAAACATGTGGTATGCACAGGCCAGGAGACAGAACATATACTCTTGATTGAAAAGTTGTGTCTTCCCATGAAGGTATTTTTCCAATAAAAAAGTCGACCATAGGGAAAAAGAGGCCAAAAACACCTATGTGAATAAATTAAATCCAACTATTTCTAAGTATGAGGTGTCCAGCGAATAATGAAAAAGACTTTTCCGTAGACTTACGAATTTCTTTATCTCAGCTATTTTTGTTGCACTGAACATCTCCTTAATGGACTTCGGATTCCTTTTGAGTATCTCATTGTATAGTATGCACTCAGCGTACAAATCTGATGACATGCTTCCTTTGGACCCAGCTGAGGAATCTAAAAATGAATCGGTTTGTTCACAGCGAAAATCTTTGAGCTCAACCAGCAAATCTTAATGCGACAATAGAAGAAGTCGAAAAATGGGAAACTGGGGAAAATAGCGAATAGGGATCTCTCAAATCAAATAAGTGTAATTTTGAACGCGACAACTCGACAGCAATCACATTCAGTTAAGGAATGGAGTGCGACGACTTTGAAACACTCAAGAACCATTACTGTGGAGACACTAGCGAGACATGATTCTTCTCTTTGACGGCAACAAAACTGGGTCACTTGATTTCT